ATTATATACCAAATGCAATATTTGTATATCTCTACTGTAAAGCTTTGCCTTAACGTTAAATTTACTTTCTGACCTTTCCACAAATTCCAGATAGCTCTGTTGCCCGTTCTAATTTGTATCTTGAGCCAGATGCTACTGTTATCCGAGAATTCGTGTCTCAAACCACCTGCTACCATAATTAGAATTCCTAGACCAAGTCCTATAAAAAAGTACTATATTCGTCCGTAAACAAACATGTAGTTGCATTTCGCTAATCTATCCGAATTTGGGAAATAAACAATGCCAAACTTTTGGAGGAAGTAAGCCAAATCCCCACTTTTTGTTGAAATTTTTTGGAAGACCGACAGAGGGATGAAAGAGAGTAAAGGTACCACTTGATCAAGTAAAAGGAGTGCGGCTTGAAGAAAATAACAAGATATTTTGTTGTTCTCCTGTGTTCTTCTTTGAAGTAACAACCTAAAAGCTTTGTCAGCAGAAAAAGAGAAGTATCTAAAGAGTCCTCTCCTCCACCAAAATTTTTTATACAAAGCATCTCCTGCCAGTTATCTTGTACGTTTATTTGTACTTTCCACTATTACCATAGGGCTAAGAACAGAGAACAAATATATTATAAAAATAACTACATCTATAACTCTATTTAAAATATACCCCCCTAAAAACTTTCTCTAGAATAGCGGAGAACAGAACATTTTTTAAAAATCAAAACTCCGGTGGGACCATCAGCGTGACGGTCATTAAGGTGATATCAAAAGTTACGCTAATTTTAATTAGTAGTGAACTAAAAAGGCAGTATCGATATAGTGATATTTATGCAAGTGGTCAAAAATCATCAAAGATCGGCAGAGAACATTTTTGGAGAACAGAATTCTGATTGGTTGGATTTAGAGAGTTTTAATTAGTACAGCCAATCATCGAAGAGAACACTTTAAATTTAATTAGGGAACAGTTTTGCGCAGCAAACTCCGGACGATCTTTTTCCGAAAAAATATTGGCAAATTGCTCAGCCAATGATTTTCAGTAATTTCGGCTATAAATATGTTTATTAAAGAATCTAAATTTTAGAATGTTATATAAAATGCTGAAAGTAAAAATTATAAGAAAATATAAGAGAAAAGAACTTGAACAAGAAAGAATATTTTTTAAAGATATGTTGATACGTGAAGATCAAATGATGGTATAAAATAAAATATTGATGTTTTAATTTATTTTAATATTTTTTTAATAATCGGCAGTTATTTTTTTTTAATTATAGGAACTAAAAGATGAAAAAATTCATACTATTGTTTTTTGTTTATTTATGATTTTATTTTTAATAATTTGTAAAGAATATGATAATTCTATTTTGATTTTAGGGGTTTTAGTGATTCTATTAGTGTTTTTGTTAGATAAATTTAATATAATTAATTAATAAAATTTTATTGTCTTTTTAAATTTGAATTCGGATTTTACGAAATAAGAAGTTCATTGAATTATTAATCATTTCCAAATTCGGATTTTTACGAATTAGGAAATCAAAAGGTTCATTGTCGTTCCAAATTCGTAAAATACGAATTAAGAAGTTCATTGAGACAACGAACTTCTTATTTCGTAAAAATTCGAATTTGGAAATGATTAATAATTCAAATTGCGAAAAATTTTTATGAATTTTGAAGAAAAAATGAAGAAATTTGTTGAAAAATGTAAAAAAAAGCGTTTATTTTCTTGAAAAATATTATAAATAATGTTCAAAGTTTCTCTTCAATCTCAAAAATGTCTTTATCATCTCTTTTGTCTCCTTCTCAAATTCGTGTTAATTTTGTTACTTATGATTTTAATCGTCAAGAATTTGATCAATTAATTCAAACGTATTTTGAAGATGAGATTACTTGTCCTTTTACACATATCGTTTATCAGTATGAGAGAAATTATAATGTTTCTCAAGAGCGAGATTGTCATATACAAGGATTTTTACGTTTGAAGAAAAAAACTAGATTTGGTCATTATAAATTAAATAAGATATCTGGTATTAAGGGGTTTTTAAAGATTGATAAAGTGCATTTTGAACCGGTTGGAAGTAAACCCGACTCTATACTCTATTGTAAAAAAACCTATAATAAATGTTCTATTCATAATCGAAAAGAAGTTGAACATGATGTGGAACGATTTTCTGAATATGAATTCATTAGAAATACAATTTCAATTTCCAATAAAAAACGATTAACAAATTGTCGATGTAGCTATAAGGATTTAAATGATTTTTCAGAATGTAAATGGTGTACTTTGGAATGTTGTTCTCAACGTACATTGGCTAGATATGATGA